AGTTTCTACGGAGGAAGAATTTGTTATTTTAAAGTGTAATCATCGTTGCAAATCATTTTTGGTAAAGAAAAAATTATTTGTCAAATAGAGAGATATCTCGCTAGTAACGGAAATGAAAATCGATATGATAATTAATGCATTTTTTTAACGATTGCGCCGTCTTTGATCCTTCATATATATTCATCGCCATCTTATTATGCTATCCAAGTTTCGAATCGGAAAATCAATGTTGCATTCATGAAGATGGGTCATCGCCACTCGAACGTGCATCCGCAAACATTTTACAGATGATGTACGAGTTTCATGCCCGTACGAGTTTCATGTCCATGTAAATTACAGGATTGAAAAAAATGATGATACCACACTTATTTTCACTATACTTAATAAAAACTTTAATTTAAAATTTAATTATATCATAATATTTTGTCATTTTATCATCACAATCGTTTATCGGATAAAAATTTTTATTTTTTTTCAAAATGTTCTCCAGGCAAAATATTCTCCAAGCGAACTTCGGAGCAATACCTAAATTTTCTGGATAGAAAAACCTTTACCTAGGATCTTTTAGATAGCATCGCATGGTTTATGTGCAAAATCAGGCGATCATAAAATTACCAAGTCCTGCGCGTCGCAACGAGAAAAAGCTCCGGCTTTTGCGAGGCGAGCAAAAGGGCTTTTTCGTTGTTCTTCCGAGTCGTCGAATGTTATTGGCGTTCTCTCGTGTGTCACAGGACCGTAAAAGCTGACGCGATGGCGCTTTTGCAATTCGCGCGCTAACCACCGAGCGACATTGGGTCCGTAACGGCCTCGCGCACTTAGTGAATTTCTCTTTTTTTTTTTGGTTAATACGACGTATTATCATCGTATGATCGATCTCGTCCTTCGACCTGTCATACCTGTCTCGTCAAGTTACGTACAGGTGAATTTCGAAAATATACATACGTATACATTTAATGAAAAAGACTTGTAATATTTATGGAGGCGAGTTTTTTATGACAAAAATACTTCCCTTTAAAAGTAAAACATGTATTATTCTTACATAGTGCGTGTTAAAAAAATATATAGTTTTGCATGGATTACAGATGACACGCTATCGTATCAGGCACTACCTCCTTCGCGTTTTTAGCTGTGCACGTTGGTGCCAGGCAACAGCACGCTAGTTCGCTTCGCGAAAATAATCCTGATGGTGCCGTTTTCATATAGCGTGAATCATTTTTTCGTTAGGTCGTTAACGCTGAATTTGCATTTCTTTTCGTGAAGGACATACGAAGTAACGTGATTACTATGCAGCGGCGGATTTTTGATTTTAGACACGTGCAAACGAGCATCTTGAGTAGAAAAAATTTTCTGCGTAATAACATGAAATAAGTGAAAAAATGTTAGAAAAAAAATAAAAATAATATAGAGCGAGCTATTGAAAAACGATCGGCTTCACGCGAGTCGAGAAGAATGTATTTTATATCGATCATAAAATTCATAGAGATGAAAGAACGTGGGAAATCCTTATTCCACAGTAATCTCGTGGAGCTCACAGCGTGAAAAGAGCGCGTGAATGCACCATTACTCGTATGGTGCATCTCGCAAGTTAATCCCGTCTGCGACGTCGACGTCGTGAGGCTCGTAAATAAGCGGTCATCATCAAAGAGAAGATGATCTTGCGGTCGCGTATACATCTCGACGATCGATCCGATCGTAAAGCACACTCTCCGGGGACGCGACGTAAATTCTGTGCACGAAATTATGACAGAATATATTATTCCGCAGGCGGGCGCGTTAATCTGCTTCTGTTTCGTTCCGTTTAATTCGCTTGAGCGAGTCAAGTCGAGTCGAGTCGAATCGCGCCGCGCCGCGCGCGACCGTTTTATCACCTCGCACGTTCTCCGACGTGCCCTGACCATCCTTATACTCCTCGAAAGACAAAGTGTGTACGGTATATCGCGAATGCACGGCGGCTCGCGAGCGCGAGCATGCGGCAGCGCGGCGGTCGCGACATTAATAATTCAACAAAGCGCGCGCGGAGCGACGAGTTTAGGCTTCTAGGCGTTATAAATATTTAGATAGTCGCGGAGACCGCGCGCCTCCTGAGATGGGAGCCAAAAAGAAACGAGAGATCCGCGGAAGAATAGGTATATGGCTCAAAATTGAGAAGAGAAACTATTTGAAATTATTTTCAAAGAAATTGAAGTCACGCTGAACAATAATGAAATTGAGAACGGAACGGATGAAATGTGCAGATCGCCAGAAAATTAGTGAATCAACGTTTCTCTAGAAATTTTTTAAGCACTACATGTAATTTTGTGTAAATGTATTCATCAAGAAAGATCATAGTTTATACATTATTAAATATTATTAATTATATAAAATATTTATATTGAAAATCACAATTTATAATATATGTATATGTATATATATATATATATATATAAATTTTGAATGAGATCACATTGCAGGTTATTGATGACGTAAACACTTGTCTATCCATCTTGTAGTTTCCTGTTAATTTCCACGAACAGAATGATTACTCAGCTAAACGCAATAATTGTTGCAATTACTCTCTTACTTTGTACGCAGTAAAAAAGAATAGAATACTGTTATTGCCGTGACTATCGGCAGTTACAAACTGGTTTGGTGCTTTTCTTTTTTTAGATATTATACGATATGGAATATAATCCGTATATTACGGTACAGAAATCTATTATTTGCAATATATTTATTCTGCAAAAACGTCTTTTGAGAGAAACATTATCTCGTGTTCTTAGAATTCTTAATTTTTTTAATAAGAGAGAATTATATCCTGCGTGAAGATAATAATTAAGAACTGGACTGGTTTTGATTATGTTCGATTATTTCCTTAATTATATGGGAAGGAAACAATCAAATTCCAATTAAATCACCACCGATAAATATAAAATATCAATTTATACAAAAAAATATAAATCTTTAAATTAGATCAGCCAGTAGTAGCCATATTTTTTGTTTTTATCATTATAGGATTTATATATGATAATATTATAATAAAAAAGTGTCAAAAAATATGGAAGATATTTTTATAAATATAGAAATTAGTTTTTTAACATATTTTTTTATATTATTAAATATAAATCCTATAATAATCAGGAAATAGGAAACGCACAACTGGGACCAAGTTTAGAAAATTGTGTTTTTTTTATTCGCAGATAAATTATGACACTTTACATTTATTATCAGTTATAAAAATTAGTTAGTATAAAAATTAGTATAGTATACTTTTTGTGAAAGTCTCATATGTGATTCGCTCAATCTTATGGTAAAGAGGTATAATCAACTATCGCTGCTCGTGGAATAAGATTGCAGTGTTAATATTAAAGCCTAAATGCAAAATGTTACGTGTAAGTTATACTTTGACCTAACTGTTAGCTTACAACCATCATTAATTACGCAATAACAGATTTGTAAAAATCACACATTAACATGCACGTCCTGAATGGCGGAAGATCTGAAAAATTTCGTTAGCTGTGATTGACATATTATCATTATAATACAACAGAGGGTAATCGTAACGCATCTTTGATCTACTTATATTGATTCTTATATTGATTGGTAATAAACTCGAGTCAATTAATAGCTGAATATTGCAAACAAGCGAGAGTAAAGTTTGAAACCTAAGTTTCAAAAGGAACAGAAATAGCGTTGAATACTGTTTTCTTTCCGTAGAGATTCTCGTTGAGCATTACAACTTACAATTCGTTCGAGGCTTTTCCACGACTTACGTCAAGAAGAAAATGCGCGTATGAAATAAACGCGTGAATGCGTTTGCGCAATCGCGTGA